TCGGGCCTAGACCCTTTTCTGATGAAGGGTCTAGGCCCGAAACGTCAGCCTCTCTGCTCCTATGATGCTGCTCGGCCTGCTGTGTTCATCCAGACCTGCACCTTGTTGTCTCACTTCATCTTGTGACAGCTTGGTTAATTGAGTAGTTGGAATCTAGCTCTCAACAAGGCAAATAGAATGGTGTGAAAGATCAGCGCAACACCCCTCTATTGTAACTTGACAGTCACACTAAGGATTGTAAAAAGATCACCTCTCTCCCCACCTGGTCTTGTCTGGTTTATGTGTTGTGACTTGTGTGGCACTTTCTCGTTTTTCAACACTGTTGAACACAATAGCCCTCATGTTTCCAATGTTGGAACTGAAGTATTCTAAATGGATTCAGGACACTATGTTCTGTAATTAATGTCCATCCATGCATCACATATCAACTTACATCCTAGCCGTGGGTTACCATAGAAATTCCTCACAACTCACCACTTGCAAACTAGAACCTTTCCCTGTCCCCTCCCCAAACTCCATGTCTATGGGTGGTGTTGCTGTTTAAGGCACACAAGTGGAGTTCATCCTAAACAAACTAACAGAAATGAGTGTTTCCAGTTAACTACAGTTTGTCTGCTCGGTCAGATTTCAAGTTGTTCACAAGAACCCTGAACAGCACAAAAAGGTTTTAATTGGTGGGGCAGAAGGGGAGCAGCTTACATTTCCTCCAAGCTTTAAAATACTACTCTCTAATTCAGGATTGAATTAGGTGAATTTCCTGCAAGTTTAGGTGCAGCAAAAGCAGTACAGTAATAGCACTTCTGCAGCAAAACAGTTAAGTGCAAATTCCCATTTTGCTACGCTGTACAACTGTGGTAGAAGTCTGATACTTGCACGAGATTTGCTGCATTTGGGGGATGTTTGACCAATTAGTAACCATAGGAGGGACAGTCTGCCATGTTTCTGTAACAGTCCTAGCTCCACATTTCATATGTACTCCAAATTTTCCAGTAACTTTTACATTTTTTTTTAAACTGTTGAAATATCAATTAGGGAAGGAAAATAAATGCTGGCCCAGCCAACAATGCCCACGTCCCATAAAGGAATAACTAAAACAAAACATAATTGACAACCATTTGCAATATTTATATAAAATTGTAGAGTCAACTATTCTCCATTTTTATTACGAGTGCTGATTTTTGTGCCAATTTTACCCACTTTCTAAACAATCCACTAATTTGACTAATTTTATCAGGCACACAAACCTTCTCCAGTAGGTCAATAAATCTTGGATCCTTCCCTCTAAGAGTAACAAACTTTTTCTCTCATTTGTTTATAGCGTTACCAGGAAAAAAGCCCATCAAAATGGAAAAAACCAGTGACTTATAAAAGTAAACATACAAATTTGGATCAGAGATAGTAGGAACTGCAGATGCTGGAGAATCCGAGACAACAAGGTGCAGGGCTGGATGAACACAGCAGGCCAAGCAGCATCATAGGAGCAGAAATTTGGAGTTTGGTTGGGGTGGGGGTGTAGGGAGGAGAAGCGAGGAGAAGAATGTAAGATCGGGGGCTACTTCAAAAGCTAAATTGCTCTTACTAAAACTTCTGAAAACAATTAGATGAATTATCATAAACCAAAAGTCAAACACCTAATGCTTTCAAATTTTCAAAGTGTGGTCAGGACAGCAAATGAGGCAGTGAGCTGAAATTTTGAGGTGCAAAGCTCTGAGGCAGCAATGGGCACCATGGAACTCTGGCTGAGTTGTAACAGCCATGCCTCCATTCTAACATGCCTCTGCTCTCATCGCCCCACTACCCCCCACTCAGTTTGCAACTATGCCATGCAGACAGAAAAGAATATATTTACTTGGTCCAACTTTTACCAGCCACAACAATTAATGAAACTCCTGAAATTAGTTGCAAAATTTTTTGCTGTGTAAGGTAAATTAAAAATTTTAGAAACTGTGCTGAGATAGCAGAGAGGACTGAAAGAATAAAGTTAGCAGACGCGAATACCAATTGAAGTTCAATATATTCTATTTATATATAGATTTCCGATTTGTGAAACTTAAGGCAAACAATAAGCAACAATGAAAGTTTTCAATCCAAACAAAACAAACGACAGGTCTCATTTTCATCTGTAAACTGTGCAGTGTCATAAAGCTACAACCCTTGGAGGAATAACAAGGCAAAAGAAACATTTCAAAGAGATTTAATTCCACTTGAGACCAAAAGGTGGGAACAACTGACATTGCATCCCAAATTTTTATCCATGGAAAGTAGGCAGAGAACTAGTTGATCACAACATGTCTCCAAAGCAAGCTACATAAGAAATAGTAAGCCATTCAGCCCCCACTTCTCTTTCAAACCAGCTCCTCACTGCTCTCAGCTGCCTGATGTTTACTACCCCTCTTGAAACACTTTGGGATCGCTTCTTCACAACTCTCTGGGGCAGAGGGTTCCACACTTTCACAACTCTTTGGGAGAAGGAAAGGATTAGCTAAGACCCTCCTGAAATCTAGGGTCCAATTTTCTTTTCGCAAAATGGAGATTTGGAAATGGCTGGATAACTTCAAGCACAAATCTGCTTCTAAAAAAATGCATTATGTAAAACAGTTTAAAAAGATACTCAATCTTCCTGCCAAAGTAATCATTTCACACACCAAAACATTACTTCAGACTTACGGCAAAGGAATTTCAGAATTGTTAAACTGCAAGCCATTCAGACCAGTGTGCCTGCACCTTTTCTTGAAAGAAGCGTTATTACCTAGCGCCAGTTTTCTGCTTTTCCCTCATAGCCTTGCAAAATTTGTACCCAAATAATCATCTAGACTTTTGAATGCACCAATTCAACCTGCCGCCTCCACATTTCCAGGCAGTGCATTCCAGACCTTAACTACTCACTGACTTTTTCCTCAAATCATCTCTATCTCTTTTGCAGATGACTTTAAACCCACACCATTGCACTTGTTTCTTTTACGAGTAGGAACAGTTTCTCCTTCTCAACTCTATCCAGCTCACTCAATTTTGGAAACCTGAATCAATGAAGGCTTGTTACCCGCCCTCTTCCACACTCCCCATTTACTGCCATATCATTAGCAAGTGATCAAATCAGTTTATTTTTACAACGACACCAGATTCGCATCCCCTTATGAGTCAGTTATTTTACTGCACACTTACCAAAACCGAACGTAATAAGTACAAAACAACAGCACAGGACAATGTCACAGCTAAGGCTGTTATGGCTTGACTCAGTCCTGAAAGGTGAACTCTACGGTGTTTTTGGGGTGGAGTGAAGGAGAAAGACCATTGGATATAGGAGCAGAATTAGGCCATTCAGCCCATCAAGTCTGCTGCACCATTTAATCATGCCTGATATGTTTCTCAACACCATTCCCCTATCTTCTCTCCATGCACCTTGATCTCCTTACTAATCAAAAACTTATCTATCTCATTGGCCAGGCCTATAAAAGCGCTCTGCTTCATGAGTCCCATAGATTCACCACCCTCTGGCTAAAGAAATTCCTCATCAGCTCTAAAATCAGTGCCTTCAGGTCCTAGTCTCAGGCAGCAAAGGAGCAGGAAAGCTGATGTTTTGGGTCAGGACCCTTCTTCAGAAAAGTACATTTACTCTTGAATTCTAGCCCTCTTGAAATGAATGCTGACATTGCATTTGCCTTCAACTGCCAACTGAACTAGCATGTCAACTTGGGGAGATAACAAGGTGTACAACTAGATGAACACAGCAGGCCAAGCAGCATCAGAGGAGCAGGAAGGCTGACGTTTCAGGCCTAGACCCTTCTTCAGAAAATCAGTCTAGGCCTGAAACATCAGCTTTCCTGCTCGGCCTGCTGTGTTCATCCAGGTCTACACCTTGTTATCTCAGATTCTCCAGCATCTGCAGTTCCTACTACCTGTTAACTTGGGGAGTCCCGAATTAGGACTCAGGTCCCTTTGTGCTTCAGATTTCCAAAGCCTTTCCCCATTGATTAAAAACAGTCTATTCCTACACCTCTATTCTTCCTACCAAAGTGCATAACCTCTCACTTTCCCACATTGTATTCCATCTGTTACTTGTCTGTTCAAGTTCTTCTGCAGCCTCCCCACTTCCACAACACTCCCTCCATCTGTGTCATATGCAAATTTGGCCACAATGCCCCCAGGTCCTTTGTCCAAATGCTTAATGTATAACGTGAATAATTGTGGTCCCAACACGAACGCCTGTTATATTCCACTCGTCAGCAGTTACCATCCTGAAAAAGACGCTTTTAACCCTACTGTATGCCTTCTGCCCGTCAATCCTCTATCCGTGCCAGTATCTTGCCCCTAACACCATGGGCTCTTATCTTATTTAGCAGCCTCCTACGCAGCACCTTGTCAAAGGTCTTCTGAAAACCCAAATAGATAACATCCACTGGCTCTCCTTTGTCTAACTTACTCGTTATTTCCTCGAAGAATTCTAACAGATTTTTCAGGCATGACCCCGCCCTTGACAAAGCCAGACTGCATCAGCCCTACTTTACCACGCACTTCCAAGTACTCTGCAATCTCATTTTTAATGGATTTTAAAATCTTACCAAAGTCAGACTAGCCACCCTACATAGTTTCCTGTCTTCACTCATGTCTTAAAGAAGAGTGTTACATTAGCCATTTTCTTGTCCTCAGGCACCCTCCCTGACTCCTGTAAGATCACCAATGTCTCTGCAATCTCCTAAGCTATGTTCTTCAGAACTCTGGGATGTAGTCCATCTGGTCCAGGTGATTTATCCACCTTCAGACCTCTCAGCTTCCCAGCACCTTCTCCTTAGTGACGGCCATTACACTCCTCTCTGCGCCCCGATTCTTGAAGTACACTGGTACGCTGATGATGTCTTCTACTCTGCCATTTCTTCACTCTCCATTAGGACTTCTCCAGCCTCATTTTCCAGCAGTCCAATATCTAAAAAGACTCTTGTAATCTTATTTTACATTACTAGCTAGCTTACTCTCATATTTCATCATCTCCCTCCTTATTGCTTTTTTCAAACTTATTCTCAGGCTTTTAAAGGCTTCCCAGAAATTTTCACATTACGTGTTTTGTTTTTATGCTGCCTCTGACTTCCCCTATCAGCCATGGTTGCCTCGTCCTTCCCTTAGCATGTTGTTTCTTCCTTGGAATGAATTTTTGCTGCATCTCCCAAATTACCCCAGAAACTCCGGCTAGCTCCTCCCTCACATCCGTGTGGTTATCTTTACCAATTGTAATATTTAACATCTGATTCCATCTTCTCCTGCTTCAATAGCAGGGTGGATTCTATCATATTATCACTGCCCTGCTTAGGGTTCCTTCAGCTCCCTAATCAAGTCTACCTCATTATACATCGCCAGGCCCTGCATCTCAATTTTAATTACTTCGTACTTAATAAGTAGCTATCACTAACAATATAGTTACAGTTTTCCTGTGATGTCACTATTTCTTTTGTGCTGGGATCCTGATTCTGGGCTTCAATTTATCTCTTACAAGCTTAGAGCCAAAGAAAGCAAAAAGCACATCCTCCCCTCTGCGGCAAATTCCCTGAACTATATGCTCTGGCTGTGTCTCACTCTGGATGCAATCTTTCCTTCCTGAGCAAAGCTTGCTGATCTTACAGTGATAAACAGAAGAAAACTGAATAGATGCTGACAAGAACTGACACACAATTCTGCTTCACCTTAATGTTTTCTTCAGGCAACAAATCTTGAAACACAAACTTCAAACCATTGACAGTTCAGAATACTCTCCTCAGTTACAACTCAAATTGGAAGGTCACATTATGGTAACACATCTTGTGGGGTTTTCACTTGAAATTCTATTTGTGGCAAAGTGGCTCAATGGTTAGCACTGCTGCTTCGCAGCAGCAGGGACCCAGGTTTGATCCCACCCTCAGGTGACTGTGTGGAGTCTGCACGGATTTTCTCCCTCGGTCCAAAAGATGTGCAGATTAGGTGGGCTGACCATAGGAAATGCAGCGTTACAGAGACAGGGTGGGGTGGGTGGGTTGTCAGTGTGGACCAATTGGCATATTCTATGATAACAATTATACACAAAGTTTGGTGTGGTATACACCAGTCACGTTATATAGTGTTTCTCTATTAACCTTGCAATAAATTCCAGCATGAACCCATACCTGGGAGAGATAAATGTGTATTCAAAATGTACTGACATGGGGTACCATTGCCAAGTGCAATCTAGACCTCTGGATGAAAACAGTATATACAACAGGCTCAGTCTTAAAGCTGGTGTAAAAATTGAGAGCAAATTAGCGAAGTGAATGCTGTACTTACTGCAAATCTAAGGAGGAGACAAGATTTTCCAACACCAGAGTCTCCAATCAGCAGCAGCTTGAATAAATAGTCACTGAAATAGATAAAAGAAAAGTTTGCCAAAGATTACACTGGGGTCTTGACATTCTTTAACAATATATTGTGGCTAAAATTGTAATTTGCAGAGTGTCATCTTTCATTATTGCACGAAAACAGAACTCTCTCTCCTCACCCAAATGCAATTACGCATTTGCACCTCAGCCCCCAATTATTATTCATGCCACACCTTGGCAGCTTATGACAATGGGATTCAATGACTTGCCTTCACTGAAGACAGTACTGGATACTTTGTCAGATATCCACACCAAACAATGTCTCAACTTTTTGCTTTCTTTATCCATGTCAGTCTGCACATGGGGAAGGTAAAAAGGACCAATAACTTCTACAATGCCTTTAATGTAGAAAATCATCCTAACAACAGATACACAACTATTTATCTAATACCTCTGAGATCAGAGAAGGTCCAAAGTGCTTCACATGAGCTATGAGTATTATAAAATAAATGACAAGAGAGGTCAGGTCCTTGTTCAAAGAGGAGAGTTTTAAAGGAGCATCTTAAAGAAGGAAAGTGAAGTAGGACAGGCAGAGAGGCTTCACTTGAAATCAAACTAAATCATTGTCAAGCCAAAGGAGATATCAGGAGGGATGAACTCAGTACTTAGACCAAGAAACAAAATCAGCAACCCCTTTCTCATACAGAATTTCTTCCTGCATGGTCTACCAAAACCCCTCAAAATTTTCTAACAGTTTACAATGATTTTCTTGTTTTTCTCTAATTTTCTACTTTTCTAATTTTCGCCAAAAACACTTAATTATCTTGTCTTGCAAAGCCATTTTCAGACTCTAGAAAATGTAACTACTGGTCCTTCTTTTCCCGAAACCCCACCAACTGGTACCATTTAAATAATCCTGCATCTCCGTGTCGTTCCACCCAAAATGCATCACATCAGACTTATCTGCATTAAATTTCTTCTCTATCTGTCCATTTCACAAACCTGCCCTCTGTAGCTATGTTCCTCACTCGTGACTGTTGCCAAGTTTTGCATCATATGCAAACTTGAAATTCCTACTCGCTGCACCTCATCTTGCCCTCATACACCTCCCCAACACTGACTAGGCTGTTCCAGTACCACTCTCACCTTTCCACTTATGGTTTGAAAGATTTGCTTCTCACTCGCACACTATTACCTGCTGAATTTACCATCCTAAGCAGTGTCTTATTTCACATCTGTTATCCATGAGCAACATCCTATAACACACCTTGTACATCTCGACCCAAAATGTCAGCTTTTCTGCTCCTCTGATGCTGCCTGGTCTGCTGTGTTCCTCCAGCTCTACACTGTGCTACCTCAGACTCCAGCACTGGCAGTTCTTACTATCTGAGTAGGCAGATGAACTCACTACCATACCTAACCCCTCTACTACCTTCATAGTAGAACGATTAAGACTGACATAAAGACCTGGACTAGCCAAAATTTAACAGCAAGACCACCAAGCACAGTCTTTAATTACCATCATTTTGTTTAAAGTTCCTAGCTAATGGTCCTAACTACTGTCAGACTGAAATCTACACCTGCTCCTATGATGCTGCTTGGCCTGCTGTGTTCATGCAGCTCTGCACCTTGTTGTCTTGAAATCTACACCCCCGCCTTTTGCCACGAGACCTCAAACTGAGCTTCCAATCCAATATCATCTTCACCATAAATGACTAGCCTGGTCAGCATCTCGGTTTATCAGCTTCTACTCTGTCCTCAGCCCTTCAGATGCTGAAATCCACTTCTGTGCCTATTAATACTAAACTCAGTTATTCCAATAGTCTCTTGACCGAATTGCTACTTTCCAGTAAAAAGTTTATCACTAAGTAGTTTATCAATGCATGTGCAATGTGTGTTCATATTACCTGAGCTTTGATTACAAACTTGGAAAAGAAACTGCAGGGCAAAAACAGTTCGAAAAACATAAGCATGATTTTCCAGGTTGGAGATTCATCAGTTTAAGACAAAAGTGAATATTTGATGATGCTTCTTTCTTACTTACTTTCTCCCCCCCTCCTGTCTTGGGGTGGAAAATTGTTCATTCAATGAAATATTTCAATCAATTGATATGCTTAAGGATTGTGGAAATTTGAACCAACAAATTTTTGTAGTAACAGCCTCCAAAACTTGGGACACACTACTAAAACTATATTTGAGTTCCAGGATGTGCTGTGGTTGGTGGAAACCAGCTGATTTTAATGCAAGGTTGTGGCAGAACCATTCGTAAATTTCTTCTGCCCAGTATCCAACACATGCTAACTTTCTTATCAAGTATTTTTTGCTTACATCTTTAACATTTCTATCTCCAATTTCTTCCATGCCCTTTGAATAAGAACAACTTCTGGAAGAAAACTCAACATTGAATTAGTATTGTACTCAAAATGGAGTTTCATTTGGCAGCCGTGAAAAATCGTGCATCTGTACTTGAAATAATCTGATGTTAAAATGGCCCTTGAAGCCACCTGTATCAATAATCCAGTTCTGAAGAGTCATATCAGACTTGAAACCTTAACTGTTACTCTCTTCATAGATGCTACCAGACCTGCTGAATATCTCCAGCGTTCTGTATGTACGTTTCAATAGATCATTTGGCCAATGATGGGCCAAAGCAGAAAGCATCAAGGACTTCATCACTGAGATGCAAAACTTCATTAGCTTTGCTTATTTTAATCCCTCTCCTGGAGATGGGGCATTGTTGTTTTCGTTCAGTGCTGTCGACTGTACAGTCCATTGTGTCTGTGCTAACACAGAGTTACCTTGATAATCACTATCCACCTCTTGAGAAAATACAATTAATCAGCAATGGAATGGACAAAAATAGCCAAAACTATAGATCTATCCTATACAAGAATAACAATCGTCATGTAACCACAGTATTTAATGCCTCAAGTCCTACCACACTTAATGTCATCAATCGCCTTTTGACAGAATTCAAGTAAACACCAGACCATCGAAAGTAAGCTCTTTGTACATTTTTCTTCAAACTGAACCATGTTCTTAGTGGTGATTTGCAAGTTAAAAGTTTATCATTCAGAATTACTCTAAAAAAACCACAAGACAGTATATTCACCAAGTCAGTAATATTCCCTTTATTAAATCAACTTACTCCTTGAACTCAAACATAGCTTTATTCGTCAAAAGGATCTCTTTAAGCTTAGCAGTGATCTATAACAAAACATCCGCAATGAGTCACAACAAAATCACAACAAAATCTTCAGTTTAAAACCAACTTCATAAAATAAGCCAACAGTCTGACATTGCAGACTGAGAATCTTGTGATAAATTAGAATATGAACACTTGCACAAGGTCAAATACCAAGACAACAGTTTGAGTAAATAATCCTTATGTATCCTTCTGTTCTCAATTCAGTTCACTTAGGAGTGTTTCAATATTAAAGCTTCGCATTGGAGTCCTTTAGAAAAAACAATTTTCAACATATGCAATACATCAAAATCTCACCTGAGGGGGTAAAGTTGTTTTATTATGATTAACCTATTTTTCTAGCCAACCTGTTCAATGATGTTATTACACACAGCTGGACCAGGTGGGATTTGACCTGGGCCTCCTGGTCCAGGCATAAGGACATTGCCACTGAGCCTAAGGTAGAGATTGTATTTGTTTTGTCTAAAGAACAGAATGGATTGCAATGTTTCCCTTAATGGAACTTTTGGAAATAATTTGCTGCAAATTAAATATGTAACTAGATTAAGTTGAATGGACAGTGCACTTTCTGTTGAATTTAACAAACAGTTCAAAACATAATTAACTGAACAGCTTGTAGAGCACATGATAATCTTTTCCTGCAGCTCCATACACAAAGTCTTACAAATAGAGACATCAACAACATTTTCAGCAATCAGCTCATGAAGTTGTTACCGGGGAGAGCAAACCAACAGAGTTATGGTCAATTGAACTCATACATGTACCTCAGACAGACTGTGGGTAAGCAGGAGAAACTGGCCATCTTCAGATGAAAGGGCAATCTTGTCTACATTCATAGCATGTGCGCAAGTGATCTGGCTAAGCCAGCATTTATTACCCATTGCTCCCGATATGCTGGTGATGAACCAGCTTCTTGAGCAACTGGAGGCCGTGTAGTTTGGGCACACAGTTCTGTCAGGGAGGGAGGTGAGGAGGGAGGGAGGTGAGGAGTTTGACCATGTAATGGTGAAAGGATGGCTATATGGCTCAATCAGGAAAGGTGAGAGAGAAGAGGAGATGATCATTTGCCCAGTCTGGTCTGGAATATATACATTGTTACATTTCAGTAATGCACTTAGCAAAACTCAGTTTTGGTAAGCAGGGCAAAGTACATTGTTGGGCACTGCTGATCCAGGTGAAACTTGGGCTGGAGCATGAGACTAACAGGTTGTCACAACAGGTTTTGAAATGCAGGTGGAGTCTCCTGGTCATTTACATGTATAAACACCAACTCAACATTGCTCTCTAGTCACCTGCTGAGTTGTCATTTGCCAGTTCTTTCCTTCCTACCTGACTTTTCCACCTCTGGGTATAGGTCATCTACGAATATTCTTTCAGCCCAGTGACTCTAGTAGAAACACTGATCACACTTCCTCAGCTCCCAATCTTGTCTCCTGCAAGAATCCTATTCCATCATTGCAAATTCCCCGCCCATGCAATTTTCAGTGAATGCCACTTTCCAAGCCAGTGTTTCCAACATACACTTTTCTTCAACTAAGAATTCCCTTTCCTCGACTGCACTTCTGACCCTTTCTCCTCCATCCAGACTTCCATTAATCTACCCACCAGCCTTTGTAATTGAACAAAAGCTACAATTTCCATTCATTACAGCATGAATGGCATCACTGAACCCATCTTCTCCTCCCCTCCCAGCATTGCAATTCCCAATACTCCCTTGTCCACTCCATCAGCATCTCTTCACTATTCCACAGATCCTTCCCATGCAAGGAGGAAGTGCTTCACCTGCTCTTTCACCCTCTCCCTTCCCACTGCTCAAGGACAAACCCAACTCTCTTCCAGGTGAAATAACCATTTACTGCTCACAATGTAGTATCCTCTTTGCTGGAAAGACCAAAAGATGATTACACGATCACTTTGCTGAACATAACCAATCAGTCTGCATGACCTCAATCTTCCACTCAGTACAAGTGCAGCTGATATTGGGTTTCAACACTATTTTCCTGCCTACTCTCTGCAGCACATCATTCTCAGACACCAAAAATATATCAATGCCAGCCTCAAAAGCACTCAATGATGGAAAATCCATACCTCCCTCGAGCAGAAAATTACAAACATTTACTTTGAGGGAAGAGATTTTCCAGATGAGGCTGGAACCTTATGCTAAGGCCATGCCCTCTTGTTCTCAATTCTTCAACCAAGGGAAACAATTTTACAGTGTCTATCCCAAACTCCTCCTCTTCAGAGAACTTTCTTTTCCAGACACTCTTGGAACTACTTTTTCCAGCATTTTTTATTTGCGCTCTTTGGTTCACATTATATCCCACAATGACATGGATTCACATGAAGTTAACGAGCAAATTTGGACCTTATTTTATAGCAAAAAGACAGATTAGACTTGAAATAACACCTGCATTTACCATGGTTCTTGCTTTCAAAGCTCAGAAACATACTAATTTAAGGAACAATTTGATGCATAGGCTGAACTGGCTGCAAAGAAGAGTGGAGAAAGGGGTGGGAAACAAAAGACTTGAGTCCACTGATTTGATGTTAACCATTCATCCACCTCATCAAAAATCCAGAGTTGAGTGAAATAGAAATTTGCTAATACCCTTTGTCTCTAGCTCGCAACAGATCAGAAATAGCTGTTCAAACCAACTTTCTGCATACTTAATCTTAGGGAAACAAACTTCAAGACAAAACAAGTCTTACATTCTAAGAATTATAAATGATACCACTGAATCCTGTGTACACTCATTCTGGTTGTACCTTCTACGTGTAATCTTGCATGGTTTAATTGCTTTACCAACTTCACTGGCTCTGCAAAACTGATTCAATTGTGTCATCTACTCGGACTTGAAAAATATTGTACCTTCAGCTCAGTTTTGTGGTCAAACAAATAACTTGCTTGCATTTGCTATACATGCCTGTCATTTTAAACATTCAATAATTGTCAAGCTCATCTACAAATCTTGAAACTAAGTCACAACACCATTTTCAATCCTCAGCAAAGTCAAAACATCCCAAAATATTCTAAAATCAGCCCATTGGAGTCTAGTGTATCATACTGACATGGCATAAACTACCCTTGATCTCCAGGACAAAAAATAATGACTAACTTCAGATTGGATGTATTCAGTAAACAAACACAAATAAATCTTTTCCAACACTGTCAAAGATATCCAGACACTGTGCAGGGGTTTCATATTACATCACAGATCCACAATATTCGCCAATGCTCCTACAGTACTAGCTTCAACATATGCCAAATCATTTTGGATTCTCTCAGGTGACTTGGACTGCACTTTTAAGCTTTTAAATATAATCCACAATGTCACACAGTGTAGTGTGGTAAGCATGTCTTGTGCAAATGCAGTACAGTTGTAAGTGGCATAACTGAACAGACCAACCACTCACCTCAGGTGAAATATCAATGTTACCAATTACTCATTCTCAGATCAACATAAAGGCTTGTTTATTTACAAAATATGGTACAGTATTTTGAAATAAATATTTCAGTTACTGCTCAGAAGTGATCAGTTTTTTAAAAAATTGTTTCAATGTGTAAATCCTCTACTTGTTTTCTATTCAATTTTTTTTTAAAAAAGCTGGAAATACATTTAAGTAAAACACTGCCAGTTATTTTAACATGCCCATCTTGCATTTCTCTATATTCCCTGGAGCATCTGTTGCTTAAATGTATTACTTCAATATTGTACTAATTTATATTTTAACTGCATTATTTTATAAGTTAGATTAACAATATACAACTTGCAATCACAAGTATACACAAATGCAAGAAATGATCTCAAGTTCAGATTTTGGCAGCACACGTATATATAGTGCCTGCCATGAAGCAAGATATTCTGAGGTCATAAATAGGAGTGCAATCAGACAATATTGACACTGAGCTGAAAGAGTGAACATGAGGATGGATGATTAAAAGCTGAATCAAAGAGGAAGATTTTGAGGACTGTTTTAAAGATGGAATAAGAGAAGTGCGCTTAGCAATAGAATCCCAGAGCCTTAAGGTGAGTGCAAATAACGTGACATTTTGGGGGAAGAAATACGCCAGGTTAGAGTTGGAAGAATGAAGTGTTCTAAGGGTTGGGTTTGGTTTGGTTATTTAGATAGGGTTGTGAACAAGCTTCGAGGGATGTGAACACAAGGATGGGAATTTTAAACTTGAAACATTTATGCATTAGGAAGACTTAATGACATGACAATGGATGAGTGGGACTTGGTGCAGATCAGGAAACAGACAGTTTTGGAATATGAAAATCAAGAGGTCAGCCAGGAAAGCATAGAAATCATAGATTCTGGAGACAAAAGAATGGATGAGGGTTTCCGCAGCAGATGCACTGAGCCAAGGTGGAGACTAGAATTGCGATGCAAAAAGGTTGCAGCAAAACCATCAAAAGGTTTAACAGCACAAATGCATGCTCCATTCAGTTGCCAGCACTTCAGTCGACATGAAAGATTGGCCTACTGGTTACAGAAGGGTATGACTAGAAGCCCCCACAACAGAATGTACATATAATCTAGACTAAACAGTTCAGCACATGTGCTAAGGGTTGCTGTGTTGATGAAACCAGCCTGAAATCTAAAGACATCACAACTGATTGCTGTTAGCTGGAGCATAGTGTTTTGTTTAATTTACACTGATAAATGTTATTACATAAATAAGGATCTTTGCACACCTTAACACTTGTGCTATCATTCTTTCACAATTAAGTGAACCATACCAACCGAAGGGCCTTAGTTCAATTTATAAATAGACTGCATAAACGTGCTTAATCTCAGAAACTGTTCCCTAATTGGCCGCTTTCAAGGAGCTGATCTGTCGTCCTCAGTGTAGGAGTCATTGTATGCAAGACCAGACATGAAGTACTGCAATTTCAGGCCAATCGAGAACAGAAGCAGGGATGAGCCAGTCTCTCTCGGTTGCAGTTTCTATCTATTGGCCTTGTAGCCAATAAAATTATGAAATTCAAACTGACTGACACTTTTTAGGTTAACTAGTTTTGAATTATTAAACTACCAAACAGCATTGACAACATGCCTCTTTAGCTCCACAAAGTGGACTGGCATTCCAGAGTGCTTATGCTGAGTGTTCATTACTTTGCAAGGTCCACGTGACAGACACCTGACATCCTGGGTGGATCACATTAGAACAGGTCAGGAAAGTATGCCAAAAACCTTCAACAGCTCACAGTTTTTCAGAAGGTATTCCATTAACCGTAAAGATCAACAGCTACGAGAGTCCAGGATTCAGGAAACAATATCATGCAAAATCAGGCCTGAAAAGGGCTGGACACATTTGCATTCTATCAGGACAGGACTGTGCGAACAGCAGATTCTCCACTTCAGAGTTGGACAGGGACCTAGAGGCCATGCAGCCCATCATGGGCCTGTCTCACAAGAATAGGACAAAGAATTTCAATCTGTCTCAAAGGTGGCACACAGGAACAGGGCAAGGCCATTTACAATCTTGGTACAAGGGAGAGGGCAGGAGAATTCCATCAATTCGTCTGCTCTGCCATTCAGAGTCTGTGGCTGACTTGTAACTCAACTCAATGGCAACCTTCAGCCAATAACCCTTCAACAAATAAAAACTCAAAAGTTTGGAAATTTCCAAATCACACCATTCATCAGCAGAGGTGGGTACTAGTGTAAGAGGGGATGTGGATAACACTGGCGGGTGGGGGGGAAGAGAGATGA